CCAACATTACTATCCTGATGATAAATAATTTGTTATCTATACAATTTCTGTCGAGACACTTCTGGATTCCTCTCTTCTCAGGTCCCAATTTTTCCCTGATATGCAACAACTCCATCCAATTCCRCAATAAACTTGCAGTACTGCATTTCATATTATTCTAGCTCCATTGTTTGTTTGTTGTTTCTCAATTAATTTTATTGTTGTAAGAATTTAACTAATTATACTGACACCCCCAATAATTCTTCAGCGTCTTCAAAGGCACTCTTATCCCACAATTTGTCTGATCAAACATCTTTTTATCTTCTTGCAGTTTTCTTCCTTTCTTTTCCCTTTCATCTTTGTCTTCACCCAGAGTATCTTGGTAGTACTCTCTCATTCATGAGTGCAACCTCAATGGTTCTAGTATTGTCTTCTACTCTCCATCTTTAAATCTGCTTAACTACTAGCTTTATAAACAGCATGCGTCCCTGAAGGCTTGAGCCTTTGTCCAACTCTACCATCTGTGAATCATTTTCAAGTCTTCTTTCCATTCCCAGAATTATTCCACAACTTGTAGTTGTTGTACAAGAACAGGAGTGCAAGTGCTTTGTTTGTTGTGCTGAAAATTTTGCTCAACTTGTCGTTCTTCGACTTATGTCTTCTCCACTTGATTTTTTTGTTTTGGAGATACACGAGCTTCAAATATCTGTCTTACAAAGTATTTGAACTCTGGGGTATTCTTTTGTCTGTATTCTTGATTCAACACAAACAATGAACCATCTTTGCATTCTATTACTATGAAACAATCTCCCCTAAAGTAGCTGGAACTAAACCATTTTTGTTGTTGTCTACCTGTAACAACCAGGGAAACAAATTGTTAAACTCAAGAAAGTGTTATTTTACAGCTCACAAATTCTGTAGCACTGCTCAAGTTACCCTTTTCATTCTTCSTAGCCAAAGTCTGTGGGTTATGTCTGCAGGCAGTGACTGCACTGTTAACAGTTCCTGTGCAAAAAGTAGTAGACACAACTAAGCCCTCTGGAGCATCCTCCAGACTGTACTACTTATCTTTTATCTGTTTTTTAACTATGTTTCCACAATGTTATCTGGAACCAGGAACTTTGTGTGCTTSAACAAAAAGGTTCTTTTGTAGTTCCATAGTGCTTTTTCCAACACTGTCTCAATATGGTGTAATCTTGTGCCAAAAACAAYACCATTCTCTCCTCCTGTTCTTCATTCTGTTGTGTGACTACCCTCACGGCCATGACAATAATCTGTAGATGAATATAGTAGTACCAAGTTTCACTATCTGCAGGTCAAAATGGTGGTGGATAACTGAAGAGTACCTCATGTTAGTCTCTACTTCAAGGTGATCATCAGCAAAYCACATGCACTCCCTCTATGTTTGAACTAGTGAATAGTGAATGTACTTATAGGATACTGCTGTTGATGATATCTAAACCAACCCTCCTGTAGTAGTAGTAGTTTTCAGGTCACTAGATCAATTTTATGTGAAACCCATACAATGAGCACCTTTGTTCTGTACACCTACAAAGACATGATATGYGTGAAAACAGTGCACACTCTTACCTGTCACTCCTTTTCCTCCCTGGCTGGTGTGCAAATATTTTCTATGTGGTATCAATCTTGCTGCATATTTCTGTGGGTCACAGTAGGTTTTCTTGTACGGCACTCAAAATCTAGTACACATGTAATCCTATTCCCCCCAGCCAAATCAGGCATCAGAAGGCGGACAGACTTCTTCTTTGTATATCCAAAGTATCAACGTACTTCTTTTCGAACACCACTGTCCACACCTCGWAGTATGAACAGAAATAGTACTAGTAGTGCTGGTAGTTTTTTGTTGTATTTGTTGTTTGGTCTTCTTTCTTTCTTGTTCAAACAAGGAGAAAGAKAGAGAATATTACCTGTGCAATATTCTTGTTGTTGTTTCTCTTTTGTTTTGTGAATGGTCAACTAAGAAAGATTCCTGGGTGAAAGTATCTAGTACTACTACTAGTAGATAGTACTACTAGTATTGTCATTCTTCTTATTTCTCTCCTTTTGTTTTCTCAATATTGAAAAAAAGAGAAGCAGTCAATGAGAATAATATTCGTTGTCTAGGGCATATTCTCTTTGTTGAAACAGGTTATGACACCCTTCCAAYAAAAATAATCACCACCATGGTGATATTTTTTAGGTGTGCTCTCTCCTCACACAACTCTACCACCATACTAGTCACCACTCCCACATTAATTACAGGTTTTTACAGGTTTTGTTACAGGTTTCATTACAGGTACTTTTATTTCAGGTTTTTTACAGGTTTCATTACAGGAGGTTTTTAAACAGGTAATATTACAGGTTTTATATTTCAGGTTTAATTATAGGTTTTATTTCAGTTTTTTTTAAAGGTTTACTTTCAGGTTTTTTAAAGTTTTTTTTTTCAGGTTTACTTGTCAAAAATTAAAGAAGCTTGACAATTGGAATGAATAGTCAGAAGCCAAACGCAAACAACTTAACCAATTCCATGACCTTGAAATGTATGGAAAACCAACACTACGGACTCCAAAATCAATTCTCCTTTGACCACATTGGCAATACCAAGTTCCCAAAACTGGTGAACGTTGCTCTTGTAACTGCTGTGACGGAATAATCTGCTCCATTGATTCATGCAATTGCTTTTACTACGTACTCATCCTGTGTAGAACAACCAGGACAACAATTATTCTTTGCCCTCGATAAGAGCATCAACTCACTTTTCTACTAGCACACAATTTACATCACTGTTAGATAGTCACTCCCACAACTGCAAATAGCTACAAGTACTACTACTAGTATTGTTAGAATTATTTATATTCAAATTAGCAACAACCAGCAGCAAGCACAAGAAAACACTATCAAAATACTGTTACAAAACCACCAGCACACATAGTACTAGTACTTGCATGGCACTCTTCTTCCCTTGAGTATTGACCCAGCACCATTTCCCCGTCATTAATGGGGTAGTAGGGGTCTTGGTATTTTTGTCTTGCTGTTGTTTGGAGTTCTTGAAATAGTTGGTGGAAGTACGTAATAGCAGCATTACCAGTAGTGGTAGTAGAAATTAGTACTACTTCTTGAACTTCTATTTTTACCCCCCTAGTACTAGTTAAATTAATGTGCACAGTAGTAGTACACATGAGTCCTTCTTGTTCTTTTTGCCTGTTAATTTTACTAATTGTGTTTTTCCTATTTCAGTACTAGTACTAGTACTAGTAGTACTATTGGTTTGAGTGGTGGTATTGATGGTAGTATTAGTAGTATAATTTTGGTATCAATAGTAGTAAAATAGTATTATTACTAGTACTAGTGTAGTACTACTAGTACTAGTAGTACCTACTAGTAGTTTTTGTTCCATTACTTCCAATTTTTATTTTTCTACAATTCTACTCGCCCTGCCATTGAAGCTAGTAGCACTAGCACTACTACTGCTATTATAATTTTACWAGTACTACTACTATCAATCTATTATACAGCCAATAGTCCTACTACTACGGAACTGAGTGGGAATTCTACTCAATCGTATCCCATATTTGAAAACGCATTCCGTACTTTCATAGTGTTTGACACCCACCACATTCCACATCCTAATTCTTTAGCTAGACGCTTCCCGCGTGACCTKCATTCCATAATCAATGAAGCAAACTATTAAAAATGCTAGAAGGCAAATTATAGCACTTTTTCCGTAGGTCACTCATGAATGGCTGAAGCTCCGGAAATTTTAAGCAGCAGTATTCCTTACTATCATTACTGGTCGAAGAATGGGATGGAATCCACTTACATAGGCTCCAACCTTTGACGAAATTTATGTTCCCACGAAATACTTTCACAGTCACCGACGATTTTCGAAGAACTCTTTGAGAATCGGGGCAACTTGCTTGCGGCTTGCTTTCAGATTGTGCTGTTCCATTCGAACTATGAAAAGAGTTTTCTCTTTTCCAGCTGCTTTGACCTCTTCCCTTTTCAACACTTCCAATTCCAGATCGGGAGATGTGGTGCTGTCGACCGTCAAATGATCTATTAGGCAGTCGAAGGTTGGCTTGTCATATGACGCCAGTGCTAATTGACGTCTTCGCTGAGCGCCGAAGGTGCAAAACATCAGACCGAATAGTTCGGATTGATCTTCCAACATTACCCGAGGCAGAGTTTCTACCAAAGAGTCTCCGTGAAGATCGAAATAATGATTCATTTCCAACAATATAGAAGCAAGTCCTAGCGAAGATGGAGACGAAGTCGGTGTTTCCCCAGGAATAGAAAACGACTTAAAATCCATTCGTATGGCCTGTTCCGCCGTCAATCCATTCCAAAATTTGGGAGAAAACTTCGCATTTTGAAGCTCATCGAAAAGCTTCGTAGTATCTGGAGTTTCGACTTTCTGTCCATCGTCATCAATTTTCAGTATTTCATCTGGCAGAGAGATCTGCGACCAGTCGGTCTCACTCAGAAGTTTATTAATCATTGCTGCGTCACGCGGAGTTCCCTTCCCCGCTTTTGGAGACATATTGACGGAGTCYAGCAATATTGTTCCAAGTAAGAGGATCGCCAGACTTGGAGGCATTTTTCCGATGCCAGAAGAGGCGTAGAATTCCTCCGCGACTAGAGTTGTGGTACTAGCGACAAGTGCTTGGGCATCCCGAAATGGAATATTTCGGTTCGATGGCGGACACGTTTCCATGTGTTTTCCCTCGTCCAGATGATGATCCACGATCTCTGTTACAGTCCAATCATGGGCTTCCTTTCCCCGAAAGAAATTGTGGTCTACCAGGGTCAAGGTGGCTTTCTTCGGAAGSAAATCGATTTGATCTATGGCGATCAGATCATTYACGTCATCCTTCAAGTTGTCCACTCCCGCGCAATTTAACAACAAAAAGGTCGTTTCCGGTCTAAGAAATTTTAGGGTATCGGCGGGAATCGAGACAATCGGCACAATAAGCTCTCCGTTCTTACTCCCGCTATCAATCGAATTTCTCAATGCCCTRACAAAAGAAAGTCCGATTGCGCTGAGTATACTATCTGCATCGCCGGCCTCGTTTCCGATGACTAGATGGGGGAGTCCCACTGTTGTCGCATCACAGGATGAATTGATACCCACGACGCGTTGCTTGACCGACCTAACAAAATTCGACACGGATGCTAGATCGTTATCGGCAGCAGCAGAAGCGAGTGCCATCCTCGATGATTTATGGTGTCTGAACGACTTGCTCTTGTGTCTGTTGAAACTGATACTTGTCAAGCCACTGACGAATCGGCAACTGTGGCGATGGGAAAAGAGCGGCGCAAGCAATGATCCTCTAAATAGAAGTAGAGATGKAATAATCCAAGCCATGAAACTTGGAGAGGACATAAATGAAGCTGTTGAAACAAATGCGGGTCAAAGGTACCAGTGATGTTGTATGAAAAACCACTGTATCTATCTTGACTGGGTGTTTGTTTTGTAACGAACGACAAGAAATAATTCTTTCCTCCGGTACTACTTCTGTACTTGTATTGACAACTGTTCGAAACTGAATGAAGAATGAAGGGTTCCGAGTTCCCATCAATTGCTACTATCGATCTGGGTCTAGGCGAATCGTACTGTACCGTGCTATCGAACTACTGTATCGCAGTTGTATCTTTTTCAACTTTTGAAAAAGAAATACATACGGACAGACGGATTTAACTGCTCTGCTGTACTTTTCCAGGGCCCCCACTAAGTAAGTAATTCACTCGACAATCCTACTTGTACCGTATCAAAGGTGTTAGGGGGAGGATGTTGTATTACGTTTGTGTTGTTTTTCATCGTATGTAGGGTATGTACCTTGCCTCGTAATGTACGTATTGTACCNACCTTCATCGCGTCCCGTTTCGCGTATCAAACTATCGAAAATACGTTGTTTTGGAAGTTCACCGCAATTGCACGGGAGGGGAAAATCGAAGGGAGTATGAAAACGAGAAGAACACACCGTGTTATAATAGTAAGAAGTTTTTGAAAGAATGGGAATGCAATTTTCAAACCTCTTTAGCAGTGGTAGCGGTAGTAGCAGCAACACTGAAGAWCCATTTTCGTTCTCTGAACTCAACAAGGCACATGCGTCCTCTAAAGCATCGTTRCCAGATCCGGTCTTTGTCRATGCCAGCGACGGCGTGAAATTGGCCGTTAGAATCTTTCGACCGAGAAACACGGAAACGAGCTCAGACAAGGAAAATGAGGAAGAATCTATAGCACTGGTGTTTTACCACGGTGGCGGGGCTCACTCTGGCGCCGGATAYCCAACCATGGCGGAAGGACTCGCAAGGGAATACGGTATTTCTGTATACCTTCCAGATCTACGAGGTCACGGTTGCTCCGGAGGACCCCGCGGTGATGCTCCCTCGCAGGAGCAGGTTTGGAGAGACATAAGCACAGTCCTCGACTTCGTCGCCCGAGACCAAAACAAACTCGATGTTGATAACAAAGGAGAAAAACTATCTAATAAGATATACCTGGGAGGCCACTCCTCTGGGGGTGGCGTTGTCGTGAACTATGTATCATGGCAAGACAAAAATCAATCTTCCGTGGCTATATCGGGTTATGTCTTGGTCGCTCCCCAACTCGGACACAACTCCTGCACGGCCCGTCCCAAAACAAGCAATCGTCCGGACTTCGCGAAGGTCAATATCCCCGCGTTCATTTTCAATGGMATTTTTGGTGTTCTCGGTAACTTTGCAGCGGTTCAATTCAAYTATCCAGCAGATATATTAGAACAAGACGAAGGAATGGTAGCATTCAATACCGTTAATATGGCCAATGCTATCACACCAGTAGATCCAAAAGCGCAGATCGAAACAAGCATGGGYCAGGATTCCTTGTCAACGTTACAATCACCACCGATCGGTCTCTGGGTAGGTTCGGAAGATGAGCTGTTTCTTCCCGAAAAAGTTGCGGCCTATATTCCTAGTAGCGAGAAAAATGTAGGAATTGTAGTTCCCGGCGAAAATCATCTTGGTATCTTGGTGCGTGTCCACGAGCAAATTGGACCATGGATTACACGTAGAAATGAGTGATTGTCTTGCGGAACATGAATCATACGAACGTTTCAATGCAAAAACTACTGTAATCATCGGTTTCAAACCACACCAGTTTTTGGTTTCTGTAATATTAATAACATAATAATATTTTTAGTGTTGTGAGTTGTGACTTTTTCAAAGTAAACGGTATCGTAGTGGCATTTCAATCGGAAAAACTTAAGATCTGCAGTCGTTAGAGTACGTACTAGTACGTACTCAGTATGGTACGATTCGTATCTCGTACATCGAACGTCCGTCCGTACGCCAAAAACAAAGCGATCGTCAGCTTGGATCTGGAATAGATCTTCTGACTTCGGATCTTCATATCTTCCTACCGTACCCGGCAAGGTACGGTACGGCAATGAGAAAAAAATATTTTCGACGCATATGTGGAATCAGTCATCGGTCTTGAAATTGAAATAGTAATGGATTCCCAACACAGAGTGCAGAGAGTACAAAAGATTGCAATGACGAGGACTGTTTCTTCTATATCATTAATGTTCTCGGTTTTAGGGTGGCTCTTGTGTCTTCTTTTGACAGAAATTCCGCGAGGAGCCGCTTTCGTTGTTACCAGCAGTTGTTCCTCGTCAAACGGTTGCGTCAACGGGGCAGAGTTGCATCGCTTTTCGAAATCTTTCGTTGTTCGATCGGCGGCTGGCAGCGATACCGATGTTTCGGCCACCARCAGTGGCAAGGACGATGGCRATTCCGACAACGGTGGATTTTTCTGGGACTTTCGAGGGCATTCGTGCTACGCAGAAATTGATCGACCTGCGGTTTCCATCGACCCCAACAACAAAGAAGGTCCGAAGAAACCCACTATAATTCTTGTGCACGGCTTCGCATGTAGTACCGTTTACTGGCGAGAGACACGAGCCTGCCTGATCAGAGAAGGATACACGGTCCACTCGGTGGATTTGCTGGGACAGGGCAAGTCAGCGAAGCCGGGGCGAGCCGACAACATTCTTTACTCCATTGATTTGTGGGCACAATTGGTCGACGAATACGCGCGAAAGCATGTTGCTCTTAGTGACGATCACGACAAGAGCGGCATCGTGTTGGTTGGAAATTCGTTGGGAAGTCTCGTGGCTCTTTCGGCAGCCACCGGAGATTGCTTTGTCCACGACAGAGCGAACCCGGGAACTGGGTACCTTGCTTCGAGAGTGRAGGGCATATGCATGTTCAATTGCGGAGTTGGACTGAACACAAAGAATGTACTGAAGGTAGCGTCCAATCCTGCATGGCTCAAATCAATTCTCGGTGTTGTCTTCGGCTTGCTGGACATACTCGTCTTTGGCAACAAGCTTTTGTTGTCCTATGTCATCGACAATCAAGTGTCCAAAGACACTATCCGCAACGCCCTAACGGCACTGTACTCTTTTGCCGACGATCCCCAGAGCAGAGTCGATGACGAATTGGTCGATTCGTTTATCGATCCGGTACTGAACGACTCTACGTCGGATGTGGTGGAAGTCCTCAGCCAGATYTATACCAACGATGCGGGCCGGACACCGATCGAACTACACAACAAGTATCTTTCGGACGGCGGCAAGAACGTGCCTATCCATTTGATCTGGGGCGACAAGGACGTGGTGACACCGATCGAAGGAGACGTCGGCGTGTTCTACACAGAGCTGGCATCGAATCCCGGCTCCGGTGTGTCGATGCAAGTGATCAACAACGCGGGCCACGTCCTGTTTGACGAACGGCCGGAATGCAACGCGGGATTGATCGAATGGCTCGACGAGAAGTTGTTGAAACAAAACTAACTAGAAGGAATTGGTTTCTCTTTGAAAATAAAACGTCTGTGTAGCGGTCGCCGTTTGCTAGGTCGAATCTGTGTAGTCCTGCAGCAGGTCGGCAACCAACCCGTGTTGGTTCGAGGTTGCCGCCATGAGCGCAGTCTGGCCTCGCTGGTCTTTGTGCCCGACCCAGTCCGATGGGCGTTCTTCGACCGCCAGCGACGGGTGGCGGAGAAACCACCGAACCATTCGGAGGTGGCCGGACCGGGCCGCAAAGTGCAGCGGGCTCATGCCCTGTCGGTTGACCACGCCGATCGGACCGATGCCGAACCGGTCCCACCACAATACGGCCAGCTCGAAGTAGTCSCGGCGGGCTATTGCGATCCAGGCCTGGCGTGCCTCGTTGTTGTCATTGKTGCGACCCGGGCTGTCCTGTGCGGTTCGGCTCGATGCGGCGCCGTCTACTTCCGGGACCAGGAGCGCCGCCGTCTCGGTCCAGGAAGAGAGCGTGGCATCGTCTCGCAACAAGGACGGCGGCGGTT